TACTAAAACTTCGGGTTTTTTTAGAGTTAAAGGTTTAGTAAAATCATCATTTTCTTCAAATTTGCTAAAGTTTAATTTCTGATAGCATCTCCCTGATTTTAAATTGTTTTCTTTTGTGTTATTTATACATGATGGCTGTTTTTCACTACTCCTGAACATATTTTTAATTTTATAGAGCATTGACATTGGCGTCTTCAGAATTTCAGTCTCTACTTTCATTTTTTTTTCGTTATTATCATATTCTTGAGTCGTCTCTATTTTTCTCTTATTATCTTCTTGTACATTATCCAATTCAATACTATGAAAAGAATCGATAATTGAGCTTTTTTCTGGCGATTCCATAAGGAGCGATTCATCGTTCATTTGTATATCAGTTAACAATTCTGTGTTGTTATGCAAAAAAGTAGATTGTTCCAAGTGTAAAGTTGTGCTATTTATTTCATCAGAACCACCATGTATAGATTTTTCAGATTTATTATCTAAAGTTATGGGTATTATTGGATTTTTAGATAAAACAGTTGATTGTTCATCAGATTTAGAAACAAAAGTCATTTCAATTAGGTTAGAAACATTTCTATCAGATGTTATATCAGTATTGGTTTTTAACTCAAGATTTTCCAATATTTCTTGGTCAATAATGCTAAAATCCACAATGGCACGTTCATTTGAGTTAAAATGCTGTTGTTGGTTTGAATCCATTTGAGACTCAGCAAAATCAATTTTTAYGTTAGAAGTAGTATTTGATAACATTTTAAAATCTGATTTTTCTGCAGTAGTAGATGCTTCGGCCACACAATGTTCATCATTAACAGTTTCGTGTATTGACTTATTTAGTTCAATTGTTTGATTTAAACAGTTAGATGGCTCATCGGCAACAATCTGTTTGTTGATCAAAATCAATGGTTCCGAATTAATTAATTCTGTTTTATTATTTGCACAAGAATACGGAGACAAGTTTAAATTTGAATCAGTAATTGTTTGATCAAAAGATGAGTTACTGAAATTAGATGTATTTGTTTTAATAGATTCATCAACCAATAATTCAAAATCAGGAGATGAAATTGATGATACATTTTTTGTTGAAGAATCATGGGTAGAGTTTTGAAAATCTTTAAAATTAATATCATCTTTTGCTACTACTTCTGAATTCCATATTTGATCAACTGCACTAAAATTTATTAAGCTCTCATTGTTGATAACATTTTCATTTTGATGTATTTGTTGGGTGCTTTTTAATATTGGTGTTGGATCAACAATACTAAAATTTAATACCTTTTGTTTCTTTAGTTGATTGTCAAAAGTGGGAGTTTGTTGGACGATACTAAAATCCAATATTTTTAGTGTCTTCGGAGTTTTATRYTCCACTTGTTTCTCTTTTTTATCGTCTCCAAAATTCAACAACCTTTCTTGATTTATAAATTCTTCTAAACTATTATCAATATTTTTAATTGTATCCGATAATTTTTGTTGTTGATTATCATTAAGTAATTCATCTTGATCAGTTAAGTCTTTTTGAGTAATTTCTGTTTCTGGAATAAGTTTAAAAGCAGTGGAATCAGGAATGTTGGTTATATTAATTTGATGGGCTATTGGATTTAAGTTGTTTTCAACCAAAGTATTCCTTGTAGACAGTATTTCATTGACATCTTCAGAGATTTGTTTTGCACTGATATTCATGTTTATATTAGATTCGTTAAATGTATCAAATTCCATTTTTGATGATTCATCACTAACCATTGAACTTCCATTATGTTTTGTTTCATTCATATCGTTATTTGCTTTCATTTGAATATTAACATCKGTTTCAAATGCTAAACCTACTTCAGATATTGAAGAAGCTTCTGTATTTACAACTGTTGATTTATTCGACAATTCAATATCATTGACTTCATGTACAACACTTTCAAATTCCAAAGTAACTGGTACATCATTTTTGGGATTTACAGTATCTTCATGTTGCTCTATGTCATTATTAGAAGTATCTAAAGATTCATTTTCAATAATRACCGACAAGTTTGATCCATCATAATTAGATAAATTTTCATTTACTTTTGTTTGATTGAATGAATCAGAAGAAAGTGTTTGTTCGATTAAATGTTCAAGAGATTCATCATCATAACTTTCTTTTGGCTGTTTGGATTTCCYATCAGGAACACTTGCTGATGAAATATCATTGCACAATTCATTTACAGCTTGTTCGAAGTCTAAATATTGTCTCATCATACATGATGGGTCTTCTAGTGATGTATTACAAGTTATATTAACTTCGTTAACTCCTACAAATGAAGTATCAGAATTGATTGTGTTTTTTAAGTTACTCTGATCTTGTTTACTCAAAACCAAATTATCATCAATATGAATGGTTGAAACAGAAGTGTTTTGGATATTATTCGAAGTACTTTCACCTTCATTCAAGGATTCATTACGATTAATAGCTTGGCTGTCTGCTAAAAGTTTATTAGCATTTATTAACATTGATTCATCAAATATTTTGTCCACTATACTCGTATTAATCGATTTGATATCRGATTTTGTAGTAATTGAGTTTTCTTTTTCATTATGATCATTCACATCTAATGTTGGAATAGCTATATTGGACATAATATATATTAACTTTTCATCAACAAATGTTTGCTCAGTGTCATTTAAAGTATTTTCGATATGATTAGTTACATTTAAGGATTTATTCAAATCCATAGTTTGGTCATTTATTAAAATGTTTTTGGTGTGTACAATATCATCTAACTCTTTATCTATACAACTAGTATTACTTGATTTAATATCAACTTCCATGGCAATTGAGAATTCTTCATAATTATAATCATYGACATCTGATATTGGTATAGCCATGTTGGATTTATTATTCATTGCATTTTCTTCACCAAATTTCTGTTCAGTGTCATTTATAGTTTTTTTCATATTAATTTCAACTAAGGATTTATTCAAATCCATACATTGGTTGTTTAGTGAAAGTTTATTGGTGTTCACTGTTTCATCAAATATTTCATCTACTACAGTGGAATCAATTGATTTAATATCAACTTTTTTAGTAATTGAGTTTTCTTTTTCATCGTTGTGATCAGTTAAGCATAATGTTGGTATTGCTATATTGGACATGATATATGTTGACTTTTTGTCATCATTTTGCTCAGTGTCTTTTAAGGATTTATTCAAATCAGTACTTTGGTTGCTTATTAATAGATTATAAGGGCATACTGTTTCATTTATTTCTTTATCCACACAACCAGTTGATTTAATATCAACTTCCATGGCAACTGAGAATTTTTCATCATTCAATTTTTCCTTAGTGCCATTTAAAGTATATTCAATATTGGTTTCATTTAAGGATTGATTCAAATTCATGATTCTGTCGTTTGTTGATTGTTCATTACTGCACATTGTTTCATCGAATTCTTTATCCACATAGCTAGTATTAGTTGATTTAATATCAACTTCCATGGCAACAGAGAATTCTCCATTATTAAGATTAAAAATGTCTGATGTTGGAATAGCTTTTATGGAATTGATAAACATTGATTTTTCAACATCAAAATTATGTTCAATTTCATTAAAGGATTGATTCATATCCATACTTCTTTTGTTTATTGAATATTTATTAGTGCACATTGTTTCATCAAATTCTTTATCAACACGGCTAGTATTTGTTGATTTAATATCAACTTCCATGGCAACTGAGAATTTTTTATAATTTTTACAATTTATGTCTGGTGTTGAAATAGATTTATCATTTAAGTTTTGCATAGTGTCATTTATAGCAGTTTGRATATGATCAGTTTCATTTAAAGATAGGTTCAAATCTAGACTTCTGTTGTTTGATGACAATTCATTAGTGTACCTAGCTTCAACTATTACTTTATCTTCTACACTGGTATTTGCTGATTTAGTATCCAAATGTGCAGAAATTAAGTATTCTTTATCTTGATGATCATTAACATCAGTTGGAATTGTAATATCGGTCATGATATTTACTGACTGATCAGTATCAAATAATTGCATCGTATCATTTAAAGTATTTTGTATTTGATCAGTTTTATTTAATGATTTTTTAATATTCATACTCTTGCTGTTTGTTGAAAGTTTATTTGTGTTCATTGTTTCATCAAACATACTATCCACACTTGTATTTAAAGAGACTATATTCTTGAAATCATTTGATGTTGAAAATTCTCCAACAGTTTCAAACATATTTTTATGAGAAGTTTGATTGAGATTTTCAGTAGATGATGTGCCATGGCATATTTCAGTAATTGATGAACAATTTAAACCTTCTTTGATTTCCGAATGTTTAGGACTGATTTCATTTAAAATTAAAGGAGAATTAAGAACTTTAGGTAGAACAGGAGTTGCAGTTTCTTCAATTCTATCCATGAATGGAGCAGATGCTACGAGAGCTTTAGGACGAAGTGATTGTTTAGTGACACGTAAATCAAATAATCTCTGTTTTCCAGGTGTAACACTATATTCATCAGCAACAATTGAATCTTCAGTAATATCTCCAAGTTCTGAGTCACTACAAATACTTAAATCTGTATCGTCTTTTTGACTACAATGTATTAAAGTGCATACATTATTAGAATCATCTAACACATTTTGTTGGTTGCTTTGCTCAAGCACACTTGAAACAGATAAGTGTTCACAGGTACTAGTTTCATCAACTAAAAACACAAATCAAAAT